ATATTTATTGCTACTCTTGGTAAACATGGGTAAAAAAGGGCAATGAAAATTGTCTTTTTACTGAATTAACTAAATCTCACACTGACAATAGAAGAAACATTACAAAAACAATACAGAAACCCTCATTAAAAATGCATCACAGACCACATATATCACAGTTATTGGCACCCCTGCATTTCATACTTTGTACAGGCCTCCCTTTGCCAACATTACAGGGATGAGTGTTCTGTCATGCTTGATGAGATGGAAAAATATAGAGCAAGGAACCTGAGACCCCTCCTCAATACAGAATCTCTCCAGATCCTTCAGGGTCCTAGGTCCTCCCTTTTGGATTCCTCTTTTCAACGATGGGGTTTAGGTCAGGGGACTGGGGTGGCCATGTTAGAAGCGTGATTCTGTGGTCATTGAACCCTTTTTTTGGCTTTGGCTGTATGTACTGAAACATTGTTCTGCTGGAAGACCCAACTATAACCAGTCATTCATCATACCTAACAGTGGGGATGAGATTCTTTTCTGTATAACCATTCGTCTTTTTTGCCAAACCCACACTGACTGTTTGTTGCCCAAAAACACTATTTTTGTCTCATGCGATTGTAGAACCCGGTCCCAAAGATCCAGTAACATCAAGCAAGCTCTGTGTGCTTACATTTGTGTTTAGATAACATGGCATGCCTTTTAAGTAGTTTGTTGCTGCTATGAAGGTAGCATCTAATAGCAGTTCAGTCATAACTTCATTACACTAACTTAATAAAAATTAACTTAATAAGATTTTGCAGGTGGCATGGCTAGCCTAGGTGTGACTGCACTGTTGACTCAAGGGCAAAAGCTGGCATTGGGTGTGTGTTCACAGAGGGCTTTTTTGGTATTGCGTATTTGTTCAACCCGTGAGGACTCAAGAAAGGTCATAAACCAGTAATCAGTGTCAGTTCAGAGAGACATCAAACACAGTCCTACAGCAGTGTCCAGAAGAGTGGGGAAGATATACTTACAGTGTAGGACAGTTTAGACAAACCACATAAAGTCTGAAAAGTGAATTATGGTACTATAGTAGTATTGGGAAGGCGTTAGCCTGAATTTTAAGTAGACATTCCAACCTGGGACTATTACTAGAGTCTGTAGATGGGTATGAGTTCTTCCATGTCTGAAGGGTCATTTCAATAAGTACTGTTAAATGCTAGCACTTTTACTAATCTTAACATTTGGAACAGTAGCTGGAACAATTGATAAACTCTCAATAGCATTTTATTTTGACTAAAAATAGAACTTTAAAGCCGTTCAGTTAAAGCCACTGAAGAAGGTTTTGTTGAGTTTTAAAGATTGACTTAAAGGCAGTGAAGATCCTGAAACTAAAGTCGTAACTGCCCATGATTATAAATTACAACATCAGCAGACAGACTACATTTATAAATGCCAGGGCAAAGTTCTTAAGACAGAATCTGTGTCTTTCATCAGAAAATATCATGAATTTCAACCCCATCTGAAATGCAGATGAAATTGTTGTCGTGGTCCAGCTGTAAATCTTGAATCTTGCAGAAACAGCCGTGGTGGGAAGAGTAGCCTAAACTAATAGTCAAGTGAAATAATGACTCAAATAAATATGAAAGTATTTAAAAAAAAATAAATAAATAATATATATATATATATATATATATATATATATATATATATATATATATATATACTCAATAACCTATAGCACTATAGTGGAATTTCTTACTACAAATCCAGTTTCAAAAATGTTGGAACAGTAGGTAAAGGTAAAATGCAGATAAAATCACTCTGACCTGTATTTTTATGAAAACAGTACAAAGATAAGGTATGTAATGTTTTACCTCATCAAATTCATTATCTGTTTGTAATTATAAGTTAATCCTGAAACTGATGCTGAAACAGGTTCCAAAAACGTTGAGACAGCGGTAATTTAAGACTAGGAACATTGTGAAATGTTCAAAAACATCTTAAACGGGTGATACAATCAGGCTTGGACATAAAAGAAGCATCCAGGAAAGGCTGAGTCCTTTCTGAGTGAGTGTGGGTCGAGGCTCACTCCTTTGCCACAAATGCATCAGCAAAAATCCAACAGTTTAAAAGTAATTTTCCTCAGTGAGGGACTGCAAGGATTTTAAGTATTTCATCATCTACAGCTCATAATATCATCAAAAGATTCAGGGAATCTGGAGAAATCTCAGACAAGGCCGAAAACTCAACTGAATGTCTGTGACCTTTGACCCCTGCATTGAAAACCATTTTTCAGTTATTGATATTACACATGAACTCGGAAATACTTTATGTCAGTACACACTGTTCACCGCTGCATCCACAAATTCAACTTAAGACTGTGCTATGCACAGTGAAGGTTTCAACAATGTCCAGAAACGCTGTCGACTTCTCTAGGCTTAAGCTCATCTAAAATGAACTGATGAACACAGTGTTCAAATGCCAGGATCTATCATGCTGTGGGGGGGTTTACGTTGGTAACTTGCACATCTGACACTCTTATTTCAAAATGACAACACGTGTTACAGCATGGCCGCATAATCAGTCAGGTGTCTTCAGTCCCCAAACGATTCGTGTTTGGTTTGATTATTGTTGTTAAAAGAGTAATGTTTTGACCTTCAAATAGAATTTACAAACCCCTGCTTTCTGTTTTTATTATCATTTCACATACAGTCCAAACTTTTTTTGAAACTGGGTTTGTGCATCCAGCATCTATCAGAATAAGAAATGAAGTTTGTAAGGTTTTATTCTTCTCTTTTTTGTTACACTTTTGGTCTAAAATAAAACAATTTAATTAGAAAAGGAATTAGTGACTAAATGTTATTGACAAAAATATAACTGAGTAAAAACTAAATTATTTCCCTCACAAATACGGACAAACGTAAAAGCAATATCAGTAGCCTAAGGTCTGTCCCAACGCGCCTCCCTCTGGCGAAGAAGTGAACTGTTGGAACATGTAGTGTAGTTTCTGTATTTGTCCACGGGGAGGCAGTGATGACTTTCCTGTTTATAAAAGGCGTTTTTGAGGCACCAAATCACGAGGACTAATAAATCGCTGCTTTCAGAATACTGCAATAGAAACTTTCAGTAGTAACGTGTCGAGGCTTCTCATATCACAGATCCATAAGCAAATACTCAGGTATTGTTTTTAAAATTAGTATTATTAAAAGATATAATATAGTTTAACATGAAGTGTGAGACAGATGTGAATACAAAAGGCTGAGTCCCGCTGTATTGCTCAGGCTGCACTGCAGTGTCTATTCACAGGCGCGATCCCACTACTGATCGGCACGGGGGCTTTGACCTGCTCCGTCTCCGACCTGGGCCGGTTCACCCCTCCTTAGGCGACCTGGTGGTCCCGAGCTCCCTCAGGAGCACCATATCGATACCGAACTTAGTGCGGACACCCGATCGGCATAGTCCACTACAGCCCAGAACCCCTGAGCTCAAACGGTCCCGCCAGCCTCAGCCTCCCAGTAGCTTGGATTACAGGCGCACGCCACTGCGCCCGGCGAGAGCAGAGCGGAGTTGAAGAGCCTTTAAGCAGCAGACTGAAGACACTCACCGCCCTCTGGTGGACAAGGGAGAAACTACAGACACCAGAAGAGTCTCTTACGGTCTTACTCTGCTGTTCGATGATAGTTATAATTTACACATATATTGGAGGGAAATGCTTGTGCTTTAAAACCCACTCTGTAATACATTTAGCATAAAAGTGTAACAATATTGATGCTAGATCATCTCTGGCCTTCAACCAGTCAGTCTGGCATTTTTTATTTAAACCTGGATTTTTGAAAAAAAAAATAAAATGAAATAAATAAATAAAGGTTATGACAAGTGACAAAAAATGGATTTTTAAATTTAATCAAATGTGTGACATTAACTTTGGTAAGGCCTTAACACATAAAAGGTCTGATTCTTTTTAGTTATATCCCTTATATTAAAGCACATGTTCTGACGACTGTCAGGTGGATTTGATTGACTTACCAGAGGCTTTTGCAAAATCTTGTGGATTCCATGCCAGCTCAACTGCATGCTGTGATTAAAGCAAAAGGGAGACAGAGCAAACACTATGAAATGCTGAAATTCATATCAATATTTTAAAGATTGTACTCCAATTGTCATGCTAATAATATAATATGTGGTTAAGACATTTGTATGAAATTAGAAAACAGTGCAAAATACATACATTTTAAATAGTAGTCTTAGGCTTTTACAACCCACTGTATGTTTTGAAAAAGCTGAAACCTTCAAGCTGGCAAGGCTGTTACTCAGTGCATCTTTCTCCATTTCTTCCATTAGACTGCAGTACACTACATGGGCTACATTTAACTCATTGTACTAATGAATTAACACAGTAGACAGATGCTTACATAAACTTCAGCAGAGTTTTAAAGATCTTTGTATGACTTTTTTTTCTTTTTAATAGTTGTCACTGTTAGAGCTTGAGATCAACATTTGGATTCCATGACACAGATTGCAACAAACCTTAATCAAGCCCTGATTGACTGCAGTGCTGACTTTGTGTTAACCTTTGTTCTTCTTTTAAACAATCCTAAGTGTGGTTATCATGTACTGGAAGAGTTTTAAAAACAGAGTATAATTAAATTATTATTATGAAAGGTGTTATTCATCCTTAAACAGAACTGCAGTGTTTATCTCTTTACATTCCTTCAAAGCTCGCTGACGCAGAAACAGGTACTACCAGAGAACAATAATGCCTGATAAAGCTCCTAGAGATAAGACAGGCAATATGCAGGAAGCTGCAATAAATGGGGCAGGACTTTGCAATGGCATTGTCACAGTAAGAAACTATTGTGACTCACTGATAATATATATCATATGTGAAAAGGGTGTCTTTACCAATGAATAAATCTATTGATCTGCCTTAGTAGTTCAAAGGAGTGATGGTTGACTGTGGTAGATGTGGCACTGTATGCGGCGGTGCATGCGTCTTCAGATTGATCGTGTGTGGTGCCCCGCAGAACAGTACTATCCATTTGAATGAAAGGGTCACCATGCAGAACCTGAATGATCGTCTGGCCTCCTACCTGGAAAAGGTGCGCTCACTGGAGGCCGCCAATGCTAAACTGGAGCTACAGATTCATAAGTACTATGAGAAGAAAGGACCAACTGGCCTGAAAGATTACAGCCACTACTGGGCTACCATCAATGACTTGAAAGACAAGGTATAGTGAGAAGCAATTCATGTGGGGAAATCAAAGGTGAAACCAAGATGCTTTATGGACATGGGGTGTGGCACTTTTATTGCCTTTTATACACTTTTTGATGTATGCTCAGTCAATAATGTTCTTTGATTTAGGTCAAAAATGCCACCATCAGCAACGCCAACATCATCATATAGATTGACAATTCAAAGCTGGCTGCTGATGACTTCAGGACAAAGTAAGTGGTCCCAAATCATGAAAAGAAGGTTAAAGGTTTCTTCTACCTTTATAAACAAGTGTAGCTAGTTATTCTAGGGCAGAATATCTGATTCAATCCAGGTAATTGGCAGATAAATTGCCACCAGTCTTCTTTCTCCACTGACCAGATATGAGCATGAGTTGATGATGCGGACATCTGAGGAGGCTGACACTGCCAACTTGCGACGCCTTTTGGACAAGGCCACCCTGACCAAGGCCGACCTGGAGTTGCAGATTGAAGGTCTGCAGGATGAGCTGGCCTACCTGAAGAAGAACCATCAGGAGGTTCTTAGCATTATCCTTATTATGACTTACCACAGCAGCAATGAATTAGGCTACATTTTTTCCTTTAAGCCAATTGCCAAAATCATGTGTGCAAAACCATTGAAGTTAGAAGTAATGTATAGTGTACTTGAACTTCTGGATTTGGCAAGAACGCTGACTTTGCTTGAGACAAATAGTTTTGTGGACCAGTCCAAGTACAGAAACTCCAATAATGTGACCAGTAAGTAGATGGAAAAGCCATTACTGTAGGGTGCTGTTCTTAAGGTTACATGACAGATACATAAGCTTGTCATGACAACTAACATAACTCTACATAAATGTTTATAAACATTTATTCCTACAGGCATCATTAACTAGAAAATTTACATTTGCCAATTTTGATCAAAGTTAGCTGAAGTAGCCTTTATGACAGATGATGCCTCTTGGATTAAGCATTTACAAACATTTATGTAGGATTATGTCAGTTGTCAAGCTTATCTAGGTGTCATGTTGCCTTACGAACAGTCCCCTGCAGTATAGTGTTACTAAATTCTACTTATTTGGTTGCATAGTTATGCAATTTCTTCTTCAGTCTTTGGAATTTCTATGTTTGTAGGAATTGGCAGCTCTGAGGTCTCAGCTGACTGGCACTGTGAACGTGGAGGTTGATGCTCCTCCTCAGCAGGACCTGACAAAGGTTCTAGATGAAATCTGTGCCCAGTACAAGGCCATAACAGAAAAATACCGCAGAGAGCAAGAGGAATGGTTCAATGACAAGGTGAGACTGCTGACCGTTGGCACTAAATCTTATTTTTCATGACTATTAGAATGTGATCACTTTCATCACAGAGGATTGTTCTTCACATGTATACCTGTACCTCTCTCTCAGTTGGCAGCACTGAATAAGGAGGTGGCCACCAGCACAGAGACTATCCAGACATCCAAGACAGATATCAAAGACCAGAGACAAGCACTGCAGGACCTGGAGTTCGAACTGCAGTCTCAGCTGAGCAGGGTGAGAAATTGGAAAAGGAAGAACAGGGCAGGAAAAGGGTGGAAAATGAGGGTAAAGCAGCTCATAGGAATATGTAAGCAAAAGAAAACTGCTACATAGGTCAAAATAGGCAAAGAAAGGGAGAGAAAAGGAAATGATGATGAAATGGATGAGAGGAGGATCACCCAGGCATATGGGTGAGGGATGAGAGGTAAAACCAAGAGTAATTTGTCTGTGTTTTATGCAGTTGTCCAGATTCCAAAAGAAACTGATAGAGTCAAGGAGAAAGGAATGTGGAGGAGGAATTACGAGGTGAAAGTGGGCAGAATTTCTAAAGGCCTCTGACACCTGGGTGTGGATTTGCAATACCTTGCTGGAGTACAAAGTAGCTCTCTGTCAGTATAAATTTGCCAAATGGTTAAAAAAAGGCCTTTGGAAGTCTTTTGGAAGTCTGTCACATGTATGTTGATACTTGAGTTCTGAAAGTTGACACATAGGCTGAGGATAGAATCACTGAGGTGTTGGAATCTGAGTGGAGACAATTTTATAAGCACTCCTCTCTGTGTATAACAGGAGTAGGATTACATTGGAGTCATGTTGAATTGAGGACTCTGGGTGAGTTTATGAAAAATGAGCATAGTGGGAAGCACCAGAAGGTTAGCCGTTTTCATAACCTCTCCACCTTTTTTTTTCAAAGAGAAAGCAGTACTGGGGATCATGCTAGCAGAGATAGAGGCAGAGCACAGTGCTATGCTAGCAGGTTACCAGAACCAGATTAACATGCAAGACGAAAAGTTGGCCCAGGTGCGAGCCAACATCGAGCAGCAGGGTCAGGACTATGTCTTGTTGCTGGATGTCAAGAGCCGTCTGGAGCAGGAAATCGCAACCTACAGGAGCCTCCTGGAAAAGGAGGAGTCCAGATAAGGCCATTTACATGAAACTAGTATGCTTTGCTAATCAGAAAATTAAATGCTAAATGTTACTGGTCACATCTGAGCCTTGTGTTTTATTATGATAATAACTCATTTCCCTACTCCTCTTCTCTCCACAGGACTCCAGGCACAGGTAATTATCACTTTTATTCACTACAGATTTAGGATTATAATTAGCATGGTTCTTCAGAAAATCATAATCAAGTATACACTGACTTTTCCATTCTACTACAGGTGAATCCATCACTGTCACCACCACCACAGTGCACTCAGTCAGCTAAGTAAACCAGACTACTTTCAGAGATGCGCTCACTACCACCTGGTTCCCAGGGGTACTGTACTGCTGCTGGGAGTACAGTAAATAATTAGCTGCAAAACCCAGGAAGTAAGTGTAACTTCTTGATTATGACGATAAGTTGATTATTAATTAAATACATTCCCTTGTGTGCAAGAAAAACTCGTCTCTCACAATAAAGCTACTGGCAAAAAAATCAATATGAAATCATAATGTGTATATTATATATAATCTTTTAAACTCATCTGTTTTCTCATTACTCACCTTATCTACCACAGTGGCAGCAGCAGTGACAAATAATGATAGCCTACAGAATTTCTAAATAAACAGCTTCGTTTTGTTCAAGTTTGTCTGTTCACGTTCATGAGTATGTCTAGTTCACACATAATGTCTGTTAGTGCCTATATAACATTTTGTCTCATTCTCTCCAAACGTGCCCACTTACCCTCTGAGAATAAACCCGTGGGAATATTAGCATGAAGAACAGTCTGAAATGGACTGTTGCATGCATGTATTCTCCAATACAATCAGCCTGCAATCAGTCTTACAGAAGAAACAATGGACTTTTTATCTACACACACAAAGGTAGTTAGACCAAAACACTGGACGCAGAGCAATTTCCAAAAATAAAGTGATTAAATGTGTCTGAAAGCTTCATCCAAAAGATGCACAGATAATCATAAATAAGACAAAAGTGCACAGAGGAAAGAAAAGACATGTAGAGAAACAGAAGATTTGTTTTTAGCATGACAAAATTTTGCTTACACAAAATGATGTTTAATATAGTGTGTTCTGGAAATGTTTTGCATGTTTGTTATAGGTTATGTGTTCTCAAGGTTTAATTGCACTTAGTTCAGTTTGCTAACTCTTATTGTAGAAAGCAGGGCTAGGGACTGCCCAAGGTTGTGTGTGTGGGTGTGTGAACTGACAGAGAGAGAGAGAGAGAGAGAGAGAGAGAGAGAGAGAGAGAGAGAGAGAGAGAGAGAGAGAGAGAGAGAGAGAGAGAGAGAGAGTCACAGAACGAGCTGTCAGAACAGAGGAAAGCTTTAAAATATTTCTAAACACTATATGGACAAAAGTATTGGGACACCCCTACTAATTATTGAGTTCAGGTGTTTCAGCCAAACACACTGCTAAGAGATAGATAAAATTAAGCACATAGCCTTGCAGTTTCGATGTATATATACAGTGCTGTGATGTGAAAAAGTATTTGCCTCGCACCCAATTTCTTGTAGTTTTGCTAATTTGTCACATTTAAATGTTTCAGATAATACAACTAATTTTAAAATAAAATAGACAACAGAAGTAAATGCAAAATGCAGCTTCTAAGTGTTTGTCTGTTTGTGACCTCCTGTATGAGTTGTTGAGGTACTCCTGTGTGAAATTTTGGTAGGCCGGCCACTCCTGGATAGGTTTGCCACTGTTACAAGTTTTCTCCATTTGTGGGTAATCGCTCTCACTATGGTTTGCTGGAGTCCTGGAGCCTTAGCAATGGCTTTGTAATCCCTTCCGGACTGGTAGATTTCAAAGATTTTGTTTCACATCTGTATTTGAATCTCTTTAGAACATGGCATTATGTGCTGCATTTTGAGACCTTCTAGCCTGCTTGACATTGCCAGACAGGTTCTAAATAAGTGATGTTTAGATTCAACACGTCTGGTAGTAATCATGCCTGGGCTAATGAAACTGGAGCGGCTAATGAAACTGAACTAAACGGTTAATTGAATTTGGTTAACTGATTTAGTAGCTAAGGGGGCGATTATGTTTTCACATAGAGGCAGGTAGGCTGCATAGAATTGTTTCTTCAATAAATGAAATCATTATTTAAAAACAGGATTTTGTGTTTATCCTTGTCTAATACTAAAAGTAGTTTGAAGCTTGAAATATTCAAGTGTGACAAGCATGCAAGCATAGAAGAAATTGGAAAGGCCCAAAGCACAGTCCATAAAGACCTGGTTTGATGACTTTGGTGTGGAGGAACTCAAGTCGACTGAAAATGCATGAATTCCTACAGACCCACTCCAAAATCTTGTGGAAAGCCTTCCCAGAAGAGTGGAGTTGATTTGGCTGCAAATGGATGGCCAACTCCATATTAATGCCCATGGTTATGGAATGGAATGTTCATATAGGTGTGATGGTCAGGCATCAAATTATTTTTGGTCATATGGTGAATGTGTGTTAACTCATTTTTTGAATGTGAATTTCTTACATTATACACTCCAAAATTTAGAACACAATTCACATTCTCAGTTTGGCTAAAGGAAAAACATTGACAAACTATGATTTACACAGTGCAGGTTAACTTGCCATTACCGAAATTGTCCATTTACAGCATCAATGAGGGTTCTATACTGCTTTTAAAATAAGACCAGAAAATCAATAGGGACTTGCAAAACTAAGATGTTCTCCTTTACTTTATAATAACTTAGTACAGCTAACAATTGTTGTAGCAAGACTCGGTCTGTATTTGTGCCATGCCTTTGTGCACAGCTTACTCAAGGTTAGCACTGGAAGTGTGTTGCACAGCCAGGGGCCTTTCCTTGGAATTGAGCATTTGTTCAACCTGTACTCATAAAAGGTTATAAAGCTGTAATCATTGTCAATTGAGAAGGACATCAAAAACGGTCCTAAAAGAGGGCATAAAACAAACTTATTGCTGCAACCAGACTTTTGGTTTAGTACTAAATAAGAGTTTATCGGCCACCTCAGCCCTTCCTAGCTCTGTGGAAAATTTTATTGGTTTATTATCCTGTTTTGCATCTTCAGAAATTTAGATTATGGGTGATTTTAATTTGAACCTGAGGTGGATCATTTTAAGGCACTCTGTGTGGATTTAAATCACATATGATTTGAAACCTACTTTAATTGACATAATACTTACTATTACACCTCAAAAATATACCTTCAGTGGCATACTGTCACATGATATAAGCGATCATTGCCCAATCGTTTGTGTTAGAAACACAAAGATATAAAAAAATCTGGCTCCAGTATTATTAAGAAGAGGAATTTTAAACATTTTTATGACCAAGCTTTTCTGCATGATGTTCGTGATTGTGATTTAACTTGGATTTTTCTTATTCCTGATCCCAAATTAGCTTTGGAAAGATTTATTTTCATGTTTAATAGAGCTGCTGACAAACATGCTCCTCCTAAGAAACAGAATAAAAAAAGAACTAGTCCTTGGTTTAGTTCAGAGTTAAAGAAGCTCTTTTAATGAGGAATGCTGCCTGGGCAAAGGCTAGAGGGTCTGGGCCTATCTCAGACTCAACCTCTTTCAGACAGATTTGATTGCTTGATTGTAATAAAGGCTAAGTCTGATTACTACATAATATGATAAATTCTGCACACAATCCTGCAACTTTTTGGAAGCTGATGAGAGCTTAAAGGAACATGCAATACAGGTCTTACAAATGAGATTGTGTTAAAATCCGGGGACAGTGAATAATTTGTGAGGTTTTTCACAAGAATTTTATCTTGATTTCTTATCTTTATGACAGTGTAAAGGGTTATAAAAATAATGCATTTTGTATAGACCATGCAGATAATGTGTTGGGTTCTGCTGATCAAATGGCAGAAAGAGCGGGTACTTTCAGGCTTGTATGATTAGATGCCATAGATGTTTTAAAACATTCTGATTAATATGAGTGCAAAACAATCTAGTACTGCAAATTAGATCCATTTTTATTATAACTTCACTTTTTTGTGAAGTATATAATTCTACTATAAAGACTGGTATCATCCCTGGAGCTTGGTAAGCAGCCTGTGTTACACCTCTTCATTAATGATTTAAAGAATTATAGACCAATTTCTAAGCTTCCTAAATTCCTTCCTTGTCTAGCAAAAAGTCTCAAAAAGTCTCTCTTATCAATACTAAGTTGCACAATTTGTATCAGTTTATGTTTTAAATAATTTTAAGTTGAGTCTAGACCAGGCCATAGTACTATTTCTGCAGCAACTCCTTTTGTAAATGGTATTGAGAAAGGGCAGCATTGTGTTGCTTTTTTTATAGACCTTTCAAATTCTTTGATACAGTTGATCATGATTTGCTTATACAAAGGCTGTTTTCTATTGGCTTTGATCAGGAGGCATTCAGCTGGTTTTGCAAGTATTCTAATAATAGAACTCATGTTGAACAAATGTGTTGTTGCTCAGGGAAAAAAAATTAAATTGCTAATTGAGTTCCACAGGGCTTTGTGCTTGAGCTAGTGCTTTTTACATTACAATTTAAGGAAGTTGCAAAACACATTGAAACCTCTAGAATTTTTTATGCAGATGATACTGTCATATGTTCTTGTACCTCCTCTGTAACATTAGCAATGGAATATTTGCAGAAAAAATGTTATTAGTTACAGAAATATTTACGTATTTTGAAACTAGTGCTGAGCGAAGGTAAGATAAAATGTATGTTGTTTTCCAGGTCTCAATAGTTTTAATAATATAACAGTAAACACTTTTAATAGTATAATTGTTGCCTGTGTTCCAAGCTATAAGTATTGATGACAAGCTTACCGTCATGCATAAGTGTATCAATATATACATATTACATCTTTCCTTCTTTCCTTACAGCTAGAACAAATGAACTATGCATTGGAACCTGATAGTCTGTAATAACTCTTAACTGTGCTATAATACAACAACTCTTACCTTTTAGTCCATTCAAAATACTTTTGAATATTTGGTAGGTAAGACTTGTA